CGACGGGGACCCGATCTCGGCGACCGTGTTAGGGTGACCAGATATCCCGATTTTATAGGGACAGTCCCGATTTTTGGGTCTTTTTCTTATATAGGTTCCTATTACCCCTCACCCCATCCCGATTATTCATACCCAATCTCCGTGACTCTGTGTCTGGGCAGCGCCCAGCTGTGTGTGGATAAATTAAAGAAATGGCTCATCTGTTGCCAGGAACTTGAGTGGTTTGAAAGTCCAACCTCTACCAGAGCCTGAGGTTGGAGCTGGGACTCATCTCTGTTAAGCTTTCAGCGGGCGTGTTGGGCCGTTTGTTATTTTCTACATGTTTTCTCTGTGCTGCTAATGTAGCCTATTAGACTTGTTTTACATCAAATATAATATTAGTGATAAATAGAAAGGTTAAGGTGGATTATGTGATTAGAGTATTGAGTAGTATGTATCTGGGTTATATTGATGATGTGGATATTGTTACTTCTTCTCTTTTCTTTGCTGTACCCTGCCAGCCACCCTCTCTGGCCAGCAGAAAGGAACAGCCTGGCACCACAGGGAAATACGCACTGGATAAGCCGAGAAGGTCATACTCCGATGGTAAGGCAGGAACAGACCATAACTTATTCTGATCATTTCTTTTACCTTAGGACAAGGATTTTAGTACAATGTCCGCTGTAAGGCCTTGCTTCTTGTCTGCATTGCAAACTAAGTTGTGTAAGGTTCTTTTGTAACCTCTTTAGTAACCGTATAATCCTTTCTAAAATGTAATCCTGGCTGAGATTCTCTGTAAAATTGTTTGGTGTGAGTGACGGCTGTGTGCATGGTTCAGGATGAGTGTCAAAACCATCACAAATGGCCAGTTGGTCAAGAAGTGAGAGACTTGGAAACATCAAAAACATCCATTGTATCCGATACTAACTGAGTTAGCAGATTTGACAACCCTAGAGAGGAGACAAACATCCCCGAAGGCAAGACAACAAATAAAAGATCACGATGGGAAAAGCCAACAATAATCATCAAATGCTAATGACTATTGCAAAATCCATAGACTCGAATGGGAACGTACAAGTACAGAGCTGGGGTGTTTTGCTATGGGACTCTGGGTTCAGTCCTGCAAAGCCTCGGCGCATCGGATTCGCAATTAGATTGACTTGAGCTACGACAAACTGGTAACTGTTGCGGTATGTAAGGGTTAAGTAAAGACCTGGGTGACGGCTACCATGGTAATGGGGCGTAGGGCACAGGTGAGCACCATTTCTTTTGCTTGATAGATAAAGTGGCCATCCTGTCCCTTCCTTTTTGCTTGTTAGATAGATAAGCATTGCAGCCACATAAGAAATGTGGCTGTCTAAAGAATCCCCTCTGTGGGAATTGGGGTTCTCTCGTCTCTCCCTCCTTTTTCCCAGCTACATCAAATGTGTTCAGGGTCGTGGCCCCCATAAGCTGCTGATTAAGGAAATCTGTAACTATAAGGATTGTAACAGCGCCAGCGCGATATGGATGTTAACAGTAAACAGGAGCGGGTATAATTATTCTATATATAGTTATTAATATTCATTATATGGGTGTTCATACTACTAAATAAGGGTGTTGGGGTGTTATAGTAGATGTATGTATTTGCATATTAACTTGGATAAAAGAGTGTAATGTGATTAACCTGGTGCTTACTTGATGGGTTGAGTCGAGGGGAACAAGTACTGCAACTACAGAACGCCACTAGCCGTCACCTTCAGCCCCCCACTAAAACCTCTCCAGCGCATCATCAAGGATCTACCACCTCTCCTGAAGGACGATCCCTCACTCTCACAGTCCTTGGGAGACAGGCCAGTCCTCGCTTACAGACAGCCCCCCAACCTGAAGCAAATACTCACCAGCAACTACACACCACACAACAAAAACACTAACCCAGGAACCAAACCCTGCAACAAACCCCAATGCCAACTCTGTCCACATATCTATACAAGGGACACCATCATAGGACCTAACCACATCCGCCACACCATCCGGGACTCATTCACCTGCACATCTACCAATGTGATAGATGCCATCATGTGCCAGCAATGCCCCTCTGCCATGTACATTGGCCAAACCAGACACACTCTACGTAAAAGGATAAATGAACACAAATCAGACGTCAAGAATTATAACATTCAAAAACCAGTCGGAGAACACTTCAATCTCCCTGGACACTCAATAAACAGACTTAAAAGTGGCCATTCTTCAACAACAAAAAACTTCAAAAACAGACTCCAATGAGAAACTGCAGAACTGGAATTAATTTGCAATCTGGACACCATCAAATTAGGCCTGAATAAAGACAGAGTGGATGGGTCACTACAAAAACTAAAAACTAATTTCCCTATGCTAATTTCCTACTACTGTAACTCACACCTTCTTGTCAACTATTTGACATGAGCCACCCTGATTACCACTAGAAAAGTGATTTTTTGTCCTGTTGATAATAGCTCAGTTCCACTTTAATTGAATTGTCTCGTTAGAACTGACCCCCCTACTGGGTAAGGCAACTCCCTTTTCATGTACTGTTAACACATCTTCCTACTGTATTTTCCACTCCATGCATCTGATGAAGGGGGTTTTAACCCACGAAAGCTTATGCCCAAATAAATGTGTTAGTTTCTAAGGTGCCACAAGGACTTCTCATTGTTTTTGCAGTAAAGGTATCCATTTACTCTATCCACCTGCTCCTTCTTTCCTTCTCCAACAGTAAATATAAGGCCATCTGCAGGAAGTGTGTGTGTGTGATTCAACTGTTGTATTTTCAATAAACATGGCGTATTGCCTTGTCCCCTGAAAAAGATCCTGTGTGCCGCTTATAAGCATAACACTAAGACTAAATGTGCTTTGCAGCGGGTTGGTACCTGGTGTACATTGTCACAGCACCGTGAGAAAAGCAAAGCACGGGGACTGGATCCCGATCCGACGTGCTGGGAACTCACAGCGACGTTCAGAGGCCTCGCAAACCCAACCCCCCAGGCTGGAGGGAGACAGACGCAGGCCTCCGGAGACCTGTGAGAGGGGGCGGCTGGGAAGCTGGAAACTTGACATCCGTGCCCTCCAGGAGGCCCAGGGGAAATCGAAGGTGCGGTTACCCCTGAAATTGCGACCCACGGCGCTTACCTGTTACATTCAGATGGATAGAAGCCAGACATTTGCTTTCATTCATCTCATTCACAATCTTCAAATTCCCTGCAATGGCTTTGCTGGCGTTTGTCACGATGAACCATCTGTTGGACACAGAGATGTGCCCAGCAAAGGAGCTGTCGACCAGGTTTGATTTCCCTTTCTTGATGATGGCTATCTGCACCCATGGCCCAGCCAAAGTGGGGGACCAGGACAGCTTGGCAAAGCGCTCCGAGAGGTTAAGGGGGTGTTGCGTGTCACTGCCCTCAGGCACGGACATAGTGATTTCTTGTTGACACTGGGTGGGGCCTGGGAGAAGACATCAACATTTCAGATCGGCTTTGGTGAAGCCTGGAAGAAGTCAGACCCAGAACCGGCCGGGGGGCAGGGGATACAGTTATGGGGGGGGGGGGGGCTTCAAATATAAGGCACGTACCTCGCAAATGCTCAAGCAAGCCTTGCACCGCAGGCATAGCTCGTGCAAGTCACCCTCAGCTCGCTGCAGCCTTACTGCCGTCTACACAGCAAAATGAGCCCTGCCGCGCCGAATCGCAGGGTGGGGCTACACAGCAACCAGACGCAGGCCCGTGCCGACTGCGGGGCTGTCAAATTGCCGAGTAGATTTGTGCTCCCGCCAACGGGGAGGGTCTCAGAGCCCGAGCTCCCGCCTGAGCCCCAACATTTACATGGGTGTCTTCAGCCCCGCAAAAGGCCGAGTCAGCTGAGCCGGCCTCTGGGCCCGCCGGGAAAGGCGGGGGGCGGCTCGGCAGTGTAGACGCGTTCTGACTTGTGTCTGCGGAGAGGCCCGCGCTGTCCGCCGACAGAACTAGGCTCTGGGCACATCACAGCGGCCGTCACACCTATGACGTCACACGCGTTTATTGCACCTCTCACTCCGCCCCCCGCCCCGCGGCCTTGCAGCCAGACCCCGCCTACCGTTCCCCGAAGCCCCGCCCCTTCCCGCCCACCGTTCCCCGAAGCCCCGCCCCTTCCCAACTGTCCCCCGAAGCTCCTAGCGTGGTCCCGCCCCCTTCGCCCACCCGAGGGCCACAGCGAACACGGGCGGCTTCACCTACCGCCCGAGAAGCGCGTGTGCGCCGCATCCTGCCGGCCCTGGGGCGGCACGCGCTCAGCGCCCTCCGACCCGCCCCAGGCGCTGAGGGCAACTGCGCAGGGCCCCGCCCCTTCCCGTAAAACGTTCCCGAAGCCCCGCCCCTTCTTGCCAACCGTTTCCCCGAAGCCCCGCCCCCGCTGTAACTCTGGACACCGCCCATCAGCCCCCCCGGGCTGAGGTGGCCCCCCCGCCCGCGCCTGGCGCTGCACCATGGGCCTCACGCTCAGTGGTCGGGGGAGGCGCCTGCGCAGTCAGACCTGGGGCCTGGGGGGGGGGGCACTCACTCACCGGGGGGGGTTCTCTGCCAGCCCCCCCCCCCCCACTCGCCGCCCCCTACGGGCCGGGAGCTGGACGGAAATTCAAGCACAACAAGCCCCTATTGGCAGGGATCGGCCTCGTGTTTATTAGATACAGACGGGACTGGGGGGGCTATTGGGGGGCTCCCCCTCCTACCTGCTGCTAACCAGGGGGGCTCAGCTTCGGGGGGGTGGGGGCGGGTCAAAAAGAGGGGCCCCTCCCTCACCTTGCAACTATTGGGGTGACATGGGGCCCCCCTCCACTCTGCCACGTCAGAGATTCCCCCAAAACCTGCAGAGCTCTACAATGCCCCCCCACAGGGTGGGACACCCCAAAACCAGACTGCACCCCGAGATGTGCCCACCTCAGAAGGCCCCCCCTGCCCCCAAGAGCATGGTGGGAATCCCAAATCCGGGAGACACCCCAACATGTCAGGAGACACCCCCAAAATCCAAGGGGATACCCCAGATCAGGGTGACACCCCCAAATTTAAGGCAACACACTGAAATTCAAGAGGATTTCCCCCAGATCAACGTGGCACCCCTGAATTTTAGGCGTACCCCCGAATTCAAGGGGACCTCCCCAGATCAGGGTATCCTGGCAGTCTCCAAATGCCCCCCACCCTCTGTCAGCTCAGCGCCCGGCCGGGGTTCCTCACTGCATCCACTTGTGGGGTGCCCACCAGGGTGGGGTCCCCCACTTCCCGCAGGGGGGGAGGGGTGGGGATGAGGGAGGAGCTTGCGGCTGGAGGAACAGGGTTGCCATGGTTACCACCCCCCTGGCGCCACTCCAACAGGGTACCCTGGGGAGATGGGGGGCAGGTAGCCAGGGGGATCTGGGGCCCAGAGGGGGGCACCGTCCGTGCCCAGGGTGGGCAGGGGGTCCCAGGAGAGGGGGCACTGGCTAGGCTCCAGGGGGTTGTGGGTAATTGGGGCCCAGCTGGGGGGCAGCCCCAGATCTTCCGGGCCGGTGATAGGGTCAAAGAGGTCGCCGGGGTCAGGGGTCAGGGAAGCCACGCTCAGGCCCCAGCCAGGCCCCGGTTCTGGGGCCACGAAGGCCTCGGCCACGCCCAGGAAGGAGCTGGCAGCTGGGGCGGGAGGCTCTGGGCCAGGACGCCGGGGTTCTGCGGGGGGTGCAGGGTCCTTTGGGGACTCCTGGGCCAGGATGGAGGAGGCCAGGCGGTGCGTGGCGGCTTCGATGTCAGCAAATTGCCTGGGGAGAGAAGAGAAGGGCTGTGAGCTTCCCCCAGCAGGGCCCTGAGGGGCTGCGAGCTTCCCCACAGCAGTACCCCAAGGGGCTGCGAGCTTCCCTGTAGCAGTACCCCAAGGGGCAGTGAGCTCCCCCCAGCAGTGACTTGAGGGGCTGCAAGCTTCCCCCTAGCAATGCCCTGAGATGCTCTGAGCTTCCCTCAGAAGTGCCCTTAGGGGCTGTGAGCTTCCCCCAGCCGTGCCCAAGGGGCTGTGAGCTCCCCCCCAGCAGTGCCCAAGGGGCCGCAACCTCCCAAGGGCTCCCACCTGCTGATCTGGTTGTGCAGGAACCGGCGGTGGTTCACCCGCCGCTTGCCAGGGCGGCTTTTGCGGGGTCTCTGCAGCGTCCGCATCATGTGGGACGAGGCCATGGTGACGAAGGTGAAGAGATCCCGGCCGCGCCCGGAGAGCGCCACCTGCTGGGGGGGCAGGAAGCTCAGGGACAGGCGCCCGCCCCGCTGCATCCCAGCTCCTGGGGGTGGAGCTGCCAGGCAGAGCCCCCAGGCTGGGCGAGGCCGGCCCCCAACAGAGCCCTGCAGGAATAAATGACAGTTCTCAGCCCAGCAAGCCTGAGACCCCACAGACCCCCGAAGGGAGGGGCTGCGGGTCGGGAGTGAGGGGCACCGGCAGGGCTGGGGGGAGCCCAGGGCTGGGCTAGCAGGGGCTGAG